CGTCCTGGCCTCGCGGGCTGCGGTCAGCGTCCGGGGGTCCCCGCTTCTCCTTCCCAGTCGACGGTGTGTGAGAAGATCATGGAGCTGCTGGGGCAGAACGAAGTCGACCACCGGCAGCGCAAGCTGGTCATCCTGAGCCAGGACAGGTTCTACAAGGTTCTGACCGCCGAGCAGAAGGCCAAGGCGCTGAAGGGACAGTACAACTTCGACCACCCGGGTAGGGCTGGGGGCCTGCGGGCGCGCGGACCTGGGACTGGGCCCCGGTCGCCCAGAGACCCGAGTGGCCCCAGGCAATTCCCCAGACCCCCGAGGTGGAGCGGGTTTCGGGGCGGACTTTGCTGAGCTCTGCGGGCCCTGGGCAGGCCTGCGGCGGGACCACCCCTCCGCCTGTGGTGTGAGAAACCCAGTCGCCTTCCCGGTCAGGGAGCTTTGCACACACTGCTGTCCACTGTGGCCTTTCGTTTCCCATCCACACCAGGCAAAGGTCCTGAGAGGCCAGCGTGGGAAGCAGTGGGTGAGAGCCCAGAGCCTGAAACTATTTCCTGGTCTGGTCAGGGGCCAGGGGAACAGGTGGCAATGGCCGGGACACAGGGCACTACATGGGCCAGTTGGGCCCTGCCTGCCACACTCTGTGACTCACCCCCAGCTTCATTCTCTTCCTGGGGAGATGAGGGAAGAGGGCCCGGCGAGCCTCTGGGGTTATTTCCCAGAAAGAGAGAGGCAGGTGCCTAACCCACCCACCTGTCAGGGTTAGCTGGTCACGAAACCCGTGTTCAGACTTCCGAGCGGGATGGCAGCCTGGGCAGTGACATTGCCCGAGGTCAGTGAGGACAGGTCCATCCTGTGGTTTGCAGGACTGCAGAGGGCTCTGCAAATGTAAACTGTAGGGGCAGCTGCCAGTCCAAATGCTCCTTAGGGTCACTGGTATCCCCAGCCCCGAGCTGTGGCTGGCTGACCCCGCCCGAGGCTGGGGAAGTTCCCTCCTGTCCCAGCACAGACACCTGGACTGTCTTGCCTTTTGTCCCATCCCTGCAGATGCTTTTGATAATGATTTGATGCACAGGACTCTCAAAAACATCGTGGAGGGCAAAACTGTCGAGGTCCCAACCTATGATTTTGTGACCCACTCAAGGTAAGCAGGTGGCTGGGTCCTGGGAGCCAGTGAGGGCGACCCCTCCAGGGCTTATACAGAGCACCTGCAGCAGGCCCTGACCCATTGGTTTCTGTAGACACCCCTCTCCCACTGTGATGTGTCCTCTGTGGAGTTGGTGCCTAGGAGACCCCATCTCCAGCAGGGCCGTTTCCTGCTCTTGCCTCGCAGGTTACCGGAGACCACGGTGGTCTATCCTGCAGACGTGGTTCTATTTGAGGGCATCCTGGTCTTCTACAGCCAGGAGATCCGGGACATGTTCCACCTGCGCCTCTTTGTGGACACCGACTCTGACGTCAGGCTGTCGAGAAGAGGTAAGGCGGCCTCAGCCTCCCTGCCCCTGCCTGAGGCTGGGCACACATCCTGAGGTCTGACGTGGCCACCTGGCTCCTGTTGCTGCAGTTCTCCGAGATGTGAGCCGCGGGAGGGACCTGGAGCAGATCCTGACCCAGTACACCACCTTCGTCAAGCCAGCCTTCGAGGAGTTCTGCCTGCCGGTACCCGCCTTTTGCTTACTTGGGAATGCCTTTCTCCCCTTTCTAAGACACACGATGCCCACGCTTTACAAGGGCTGAATCGTGGATGGACGTGGTCTGATTTATAAATGGAGAATTTAGTTTGTGCGTAGCTCTCAGCTCTCCAGGCCTTCTCTGCCTTTCCCCCGTGTCCACACCGGCTCCCTCCTCCCTGCGTCAGGCCTTTACTCAGGTCGCTGGAGTTGCCTTTGCAGCGTAACCCGGGAGACCCCACTGCTCCGGGCCTCTGCCTTCTCTCTGTGTCCCTGGGGTGCTTCTCGTTGTTTGACCACACAGTCTATCTTGCTTACCCCCTTTGCTGGCCTTCAGCTCTCCTGCTCGCTCAGCAGTGAGCCCGCCCAGGGGAGCCACACCTGGCCTCATGGGTCTCCACTGCATGCAGACACAGCTGCCCCAGGGCTTGTCCCTGCCTGCTCTGTGGCTCTTTCCTTGTGACATGTCTCCTTGGCCCAAATTCACATGCCTGCAACACCAGACGGTCCACAGGTCCATCCCACGGGCCACACCATTCCGCCTCTCCCTAGCACAAGCCTGGCAACAGTTAGCAGCGCTTGGTGTGTCAGCAGCAGCACTGCTGCTGCCCTTGCCTGCAGAGCACCTGTGCTGGCCTGTCACTCCTCCGGGTTCTTGCAGAAGGTCCCTATTTGCAGAGGAAGCGCCCCGTGTTGTAGAGGCTGCCATGCTCCACCTGGCCAAGTGAATTAAGTTGTTAGCACAGACAACTGTCCCCGAGACTGTTCATGGGATTGAGTAATAGCACAGAGTTTCGAAGATACCAGGAGAGGCACTGTTTCTTCCAGCTGCCTTGGCCCACCTTCTGCCTTACTTCCTGGAGCACCATCCCTCACCCCTGGTTGATAACCTGTCCCAAACTCTGTCCCCCTCCGGCCTGTGGCACAGGCATTTGGGCACCCCAGGGCTGGCTCCCCTGCCACTGCATCTAGCCGAGCCCTGAGCAGCTGGGTGTCACCTTGGAGTGGGGAGGGTGACAGATCCTTACAAGATCTTTTTTGTGTTGCAGACAAAGAAGTATGCGGACGTGATAATCCCCCGCGGGGTGGACAACATGGGTAAGAACCAGACCTGGGGGTCACTGCCCCCGTCTGCCCCCAGAGCCATGAGGCAGGCGCTGCCCCACCGCAGCCTTGTTACACACATTGTGTGTTACACCTCGCTAAAGCTGATGGAGAATAACTATAGAAAACTGGAGGAGTTACTGTTAGCAGAAGGTCTCTTACCCAGGCTCCCAGTCAGCAGAACCCTCGCTGACGAAGCAGCAAGTCTGGTGCTCAGGCCCGTGTGCATTCTGTCTGCTGAGACTCAGGGCGAGACAGATGTCACTGCTGGGTTTCACTGAGCGGGGCTCTCTGGGCTGGGCGGTCGCAGTGGAGGGTGCATGCGGCTAACACTCTGTCGTCTCTTTGCCACAGTTGCCATCAATCTGATCGTGCAGCACATCCAGGACATCCTGAACGGGGACATCTGCAAGTGGCACCGCGGAGGGGCCAATGGGCGGAGCTCCAAGAGGACGTTTCCTGAGCCAGGAGACCATCCCGGAGTGCTGACTGCCGGCAAACGGTCGCACCTGGAGTCCAGCAGCAGACCACACTGAGGAGCGGCGCTCAGCCTCCAGCAGGTCCCCTGGAGGTGCCCGCCTGCCCCCAAATCACACCCTCCGCTTCCTCTCCGTCTGGGACAGCCTGTGGTGTGAAGGTCAGGGGTCCTCAGTACCGGGAGCCTGGCTGCGTGCTCCAACCCAGTTCGATGGGTGATGGCAGTGTTTGCACCTGCTTCCTCGCCGTGCGGAGGGTTGGAAGTCTCAGGTCACTGAGAAATGCCAGAGTGAGCGGTGTCCTGTGGCGCTTACCTCCAGAAGGTGGCCAGGTGTTTTGGAGGACCGGAGAAACAGCCAGGAAGCGCTGGCTGTTCAGTGTTTTTGACTGATCTCACGGCAAGTTTTTCTAGTAGAATCTGATTGTCAACTGAAAGTTTGAAAATACTTTCCCATTTTGTTATACATCCCAGTGTTTTCTGTTCTATTCTGTTTATAACACCACGCCAGTGTTCTATTAACCCAGTTTCATGACCCGCCAGTGGGTGGTGATTTAGCCTAGAACAGAGAGACGCCTCCTTTCTCTCGGCCTGTGCTCCAGGGAGAGCAGGGGAAGGAGCCCTGGTGACAAGCCCTGTCTTAACCACTTAACCAGCATCAGACAGAAGGCAGGGTCTCCTGCTCACCTGGCCCCCGAGCCTGCCTGTCCTCTCCTGGGGGGCGTCCAGCATGGGGTCCCTAAGCGCAGGGTGCTTTCTGGACAGCCTTCCCTAGTGTATCCCAGGGCGAAGTCCAGGATTCGCCACCTCTAGCCAAGGTGTGTGCTGGACAGAGAGGCTATGCTATGGCCCAAATCCAGCCGGCTCCCTTGCTTACCCAAACCCTCGTGGCCTGTGTCGTCCTAGTGTCTTCCCTCCCCCATGGTGGCTGTGTGTAAAAGTGGTCCTTCCCCGTCACCACCAGCTAACCCGCACGGGAACTTCTGGTTTCTACCATAGTAACTAGTCACACAACTCGTGACATCAGCTGAGCACCATGGCTGGCTGCTGATGACTGCGACAGTTTTGTCAAGTACGTTGTTCCCTTTTGGAGAATCAATAAATAACACCAATATGAACACCAATTTGTCCCTTTTTAATTATACCAAAAAAGGCAAATTTGGGACAAGGAAACATACAGACAACACAAACCTTGACTATTGAGGACTCTGCTCACTTAGCAGAACCTCATGGTGGGGTTTGAAGAGTCAGCAAGAGTGTAGAAGACACAGAGAGGGTTAGTCTCCACCACAGTGACCAGAGGCCACGGACGGCCACCGCAGGGGCTTGACACTAAAGGGTTCCAGGGCAGCAACTCAAGGTCTCAAGGGGGACAGGCTCTAGCTCGGCAGGTCCATTGGGTGCTTGGGTGGGAGGGCCCGGCCCGTCACCAAACCCCGCCACCCACATCTGTTAGGAAGACAGCCTTGTCTGGTCCAACCTAACTCGCCCATCACTGCCTGCTCCCAGCCTGTCCTCCTCAGTCACCAGGTCCCACACCAGCCACTCAACACTCAGCGAGCCCTAGTTTAGGGCCCCTAGGAATTTGTGGACACGGACACATTCTTTATTGCCTGGATAAAAAACCTGCTTAAAGTAAGGTGCTCATCCCAGGGCTGTTTTGAGAATGAAACCAGAATAGAGCCTTTGCCAGGCCTGGTCAGTCTCTACTGTGCTTGTCAAAAACAGCAACGACGGTTCTGCCTGGTCCTGACCCGGCAGAGGTTCACTGTGTCGGCTCCTGCTGGTGTTTTCGGATCAAGATGTCCCAGCTCTCTTTCCAGCGAAGGGCCTTAAGTTCACTGGGTGAGAGTGACCTGTCCCCGTAGGTCAGTGGGCGCAACACGTTAAACACGTGGCAGGCAGCGGAGAACCACGCCACCACCAGGGCGCGCAAGAGGCTCCTCTGGAGCTCCGACCTGTGTACGCCAGAGCAGAGCCAGGTGTGAGGGAGGCTGGCTACTCCCCATGACCACCACCTGCATGACGTCTCGGCCTCTGTCACCCTGGTGGTCACCAGCCTCAGCCTTTCTGTTCCTCCTGCCACTCCACCTGTCATCAGCCCTGCCACATCCTGGCTACACACAGAGCATGACCTTCCTCACTCATCTACTTCTCAGGTCTCCATGGCCTTTGCTCCATCTGAACTCAGACACCAGTGTAACCACAGCCCTCGTGAGAAACTTCGTGGCTACTGACAACCGAAAAAGAGTCCACACCCTTCTCTGGCCTCCAGGGTGGCTCAGGTTTACACAGCTTTCTGGTTTCTCTCCTCTGTGCCCCACACAATCCGGCCAATAACCACTGACTATTTGGGAACACTCACTGTGTTTCCGAGTTCCTCGCCCCTCGCCTCTGCCCGGTCTCTGGGCCACAGGCGTCTTTCCTGTTTCCCATCCACACCAGCTGCTCTCACCTTCCTGGCAGCCACAGCTTCATCCTCTGAGCCTGTGGTGCCTTAACCCATTCCCCACCATACTGAAGAGGTCACTGAGGAGTCCCCTGCCTCCTCAGGCGTGGCTGCGAAGCCCATACCTGCACAGGTGTTCGCTGACGTGCTGCAAGACCACAGGCAGCAGAAGGATCTGGAAGGTGAGTGCAGGCAGGTAGTGGTAGAGGAAGAGCGTCTTCTCCATCAGGAAGAACGGGAGGTAGTTCACTGCCCAGCCGCCGGCACACAGGGCCCCGGCCAGCACCCAGCGCAGCCAGGAATCTGGGGAAAGGCGTCTTAAGCCAGCACTGTGACTGCGGACAGATCTGGCGGGGCTCTGCCAGTCAAGTTCCACCCCTGCTCACTTGCCCCTAAGTCACATGCTCAGCTCTCCACTCTTGACTTCCTTCCCTCCCACCCCACCCACTTCCCACCATGCTGAAGGAGGAACAGACTGTGTCCTAAGAACCTCCTGCAGCTGATGGGTCCTCACTGTCCCTCTCCTCTGAGAAATACCAGCCCTTGGGGGCCAGGCCAAGCCTCTGCTGCTGGTCACCATCTGCAGGCTGCCATGTATTAGGAATATCTAGCTGGGTCCGATTCCTCAGGAGCTGGGGAGGGGCCACGCCGCCCAGTGGGGAGAAAGGACCGGTTCTGGAGCCCAGCAGCGTGAAGGTGCCTTCAGGGCCCTGCCTGCCCTGGGGCTTATTCCTTTTCTGTTTCAAGATGGTTTTAAGCGGGTTCCTGTTACTAGCAAACAACCAGCTCTCTGGACTGGGCACCCACAGTGGCTCTGTTCCAGCCATTTCGGAACCTGCCAGAAATGTGGCACCGAAGCTGCTCCGTCCTGGGCTCATGAGCAATCCCTGCCGGTACCTGCACCTCCCTGGAGAAGCCACTAAGGCCATGTGGGGGACGAATTGCTACATTCTGTCTCTGGGAGACAAAAACAATTTAAGTTCCCCAGAGAAAATGCTGTCACCTAAAAGCAGAGCTTCCTGGTGAGCTGAGCTCTGGTCAGAACTAGGAGAAGGGGGCAGGAACACCTGTGGTGCAGCTCACTCACCCTCGGGGAGGTCGCAGATGTTTCTCCTGCGTCTCAACAGGTACCAGCAGAAGAGCAGGGTGTACAGCACAGTAGCGAGGCCGGCTGAAGCCCAGATCACCACGTTTCCCAGCAGGTGGATCTGAGCCTACAAGGGTGGAGATGTTGTACGCATGGCCTCCATCAAGGGAGCGCCTCCAGCCCATGGCTGAGATGGACTGGCCTGTTCTGGATGAGCCCCTTTCTAGAATGTGCAAAATTTCTCTACAGCTGGAGGAACTGGGACTGTTTTCAACAGCAGAGCTGCCCCCAGAGGAACTCACAGAGCAACGTAGAGCTAAGAGGTGCCGCCCAGCTCTGCCTTTACGGTGACCCTCAGCTGTGCTGGGCAGGGAGAACGGTGAGTGCTGTTAGCTCGAGTCACCCGTGAGTGGTGGCAAAGCACGACTCTCCACCTTTCTACCGGGTGAAGCAACATCTGCCTAAATGAGGCTCTGACGGCTCAGACACCAGGTGCTGTGCATGAAACAGCAGGGACACGTTAAAAAACACTTTTGCTAGAAAGAGGAGCAGTGCTCCCACCGAAGAAGAGCTTGGCTTCCTTCCTCATGGAGACATGATCTCACTCCCCAGGCCTCGGTGAGGATGGCCCTGGAGAAAGCCAGACTCGTGGGAAGCAGAGGGAGGGCTCTCAGGGCACGTGGCAGCCCTGCTTACACTGGTCCTGGGGTGCAGCCAGTAGGCGATGTTGGTGTCCAGGGTGACCCAGTCCAGCGGTGTGGAACTGTATTTGTGCTCCGAGTCGTCGCTCCTCACTGTCAGCATCCTCCACTGCAACACAGCCAGGGGCTCAGTCAGCCAGCTGGATACCTGCATCACTCAGGGATGTGTTGGGGGCTGGAGCAAATGCTGCCCCTGCACGTGGGAAGGGGGGGCGGTCCAACCTCAAGCTCATTTGAACAAGCAGCAGAGTTAGTGTGCAGGCCTGATAGGCAGGCTCGTCAGAGACCTGAAGTCCAACCTGGGGGTGGCCGGGAAGTGGCCTGCCCCAGGGGCTCCTGTCACTTGTCTATAGATAAGCAACTGCCTGGAGCTAAGGGCACATATAGATAAGGGACCCCGTTTCTGGTTTTGATCCCTTTAGGGCTCCTCACATTCTGACCTGCCCTGGGGCCGCAAAACGTGGCCTGCTGACTAGCTGCAGAGGCTCCTGCCTGCAGAACCACAGGCCTGGGACCCACAGTGCTGCACGTGTCACTTGCAGCGAAGGGAGGGACATGCTCCTCACTTCTGACCTGGGTCCCAGTTTAAAGACCGACCTTGGGAAGATGTGAACCTTACAGACCATGGTGCTTTCCCTGGCAAGGAGCCAGCTCTCAAGGAGCAAAGTCATGCCTCCCTCCACCCGCAAGTCACCTGCAGCTCCGAGAATCTGGCCATGAAGCTCAGGTTTCTGTTGATGTCCACCTGAGTAGGTGAGTGCAGCTCCAGCTCCCTCTCCTTCTGTTCCTGGCCTGACCAAACACACCAGAACCCAAAGAACATAAGCGGAGTAAAGGCAGGGAGCTCAGAGACTGTCAGCTCATCCAAACTGTCTGCCCTGCCTTTCACACCCACAGTGATTCATACGCAGGATCATTTCCTTCTCCCCATGCACAACGACTGGGAAATTAGGATCCTTTGACCCATGGAAAGCTGGGCTCACAAGACCTGCCAATGACCATGCAGCCTCAGTGGGGCGGGCACAAGAGGGGACATGTTGACAGAGCGTGGGAGACATGGCCGGGAGCTCACTGGGGTCTCCACCACCAATGAGGACTCACTTCTGCCGTAGCGATGCTCCTCCACGGTCCACACTGCGCTCTCGTGGTAGCCCCGGGACAGCTTCTCCCCAACCACCTCCAGCTGCCGAAAGCCCCAATCAGGGAGGTGGGCCCCACTCAACTGGAAGAGGGGACAAGAGGGCATGAGATGACAGCCCAGTGGGGAAGGGAGGGCCTGCTGCCTGGTCACTCTGCCAGCCCCCAGCGAGGGCACAGACTATCCTCTAGCTTCAGGGGAAACAGCATCCACTTTGTGCACACGTCCTGGGGGCAGGGTTGCTCGGCCCAGAGGTCCCACAGAGTGTGAGAGTGCAGAGTGTGGCCAGGCCAGGCCCAGCAGTGCCCGTACCTTCAGGATGGCAGAAGTGTTCAGGTGCACGAGGCGGACCTCGGACAGGATGGTCTTCCAGGTCTCGGCATCTGATTCTCTGTTCACAATGTCCTGTAAGAGTGGATCTGCCCATTATGTTTCTTTCTCAGGTTTCCTCAATGTGAAGGTGAAGCCCAGTCAGCAATCACTGAAACTGATGTGGCTGATTCTCGGGGTGGGGGGCACAGTGCTCTACTACAGGGGAGCTCGGGCTTCACAGCAGAGACCAAAGACCGATGCCCGACCCACACTTCTGGGTGCCTGGTCACTCACAGGGCTCAGAGCCTGGAGGTTAGAGACTGTCCCCAAAAGGTATCCTCAGGGAACTCCTGATATTGGGTAATAAAAAACTAACATCTAAGAGGGCTTGGCATTGTCATAGCCTTGAGATGGCCCCATGAGGTCACACAGCCATTGATAAGAATCAGAGAACCCCAGAGGCTGTGCTGTGTTCAGCAGGCCTCCCTGTTCTGTGAGGGGCTGAGGGGGCCACCAGTAGGAACTGAGGAGGTGGAGGCAGAGGAAAGGGATGATCAATGAACCTTCAGCAGCAAGGGGAGGGGCGGGATCCTCAGAAGAGGCTCCCTCAGGAGAGCTCCTGATGGCAAGGGGTGGGAGCAAACAACTCTGACCAAGGTGGAAAGGCTGGGGGAGAGGAAGATGAAGCAGGTACACCCGACATCACAGCACAAGAATGTCTGTCACGTGCAAAGGGGGCACAGAGGTGCCCCAGGCCTTGCTGAGGGTCTTCCAGCCACAGTGCATCAAGCTGGATGTGTAATTCACACCATCGAGAACCAAACAGGGCTGGGGGGCTGGGTTAAGTGGGGAGCTGCTGCTGCAGTCTCGAGGCTGGCAGGAATCTGACCCACAGGAGGTGACTCCAGTGCCATTACTGAGAGCACTGAGTGCGGCTCACATCCTTGAAGTTAAGATAGTCCAATGGTCCAAAACTCTATAATGTCCCTCCTGCCATCTCCCCCAGGACTCCTCGTGCAGTTCTGGAGATCGAGACTCATTGTGTAAGGGACAACGTTCCCCTGGTCACTCGGAGGAGAGTGGCCACCGTCCTAACTGTCTCTGGAAGGGGCAGCCCCCAGGAATCCCCCACTGGAGGGCCAGGCCTCTCCTGGGGAACCTGTGACAAGGGCAGGTGCTAATATGACGCCAGGGTTCCCCGAAGGCTCCCAGGTTGACTGAGGGTGGCCAGAGCACCTGACCCCGTATTCAGTGACCCAGTCGTGAAGCTGACCAAGTGACCACATCAGAGGGCACCTCCTCCTGGCAGAGCCATGTGGGCCACACAGGCCCAGCACCGAGCATTTACCAATTGTTGGTAAACTGTTTGCCTGATACAGGCACCCCCCCCTCCCCCCAACTCATGGTCTGGGGAAGAGGAAATCTGTTCCCTGTGAAAACCACTGACCTTCTGTAACTAAAATCGCTTTCCCAGTTTTACACCTGGATCAGAATTAGGCTAAGTGGTGGTTTCAAATGTTGTTAGGAAGTGTGCATGCTGCCCACCATCATGACCAGTCTCCCAGACTCACCAGCCTCCAGAGGCTCTGGGCAGGCATGGAGATATTGTAGTCAACATAGCAGGACACCTCCTGAGCATGCGGGTTCAGGGGAGCGGCCACATCATGCCTGCAACACCAAACAGCACTCACAGGGGATTCCTCAAAAAAGCTGCTTTTCAGAAACAAAGCAGCTTGGCCTTAAGAGACAGCTGGTCGCACAGTGGCGGCAACCCAAGGATGCAGCACCTGAGCAGGGCGTGGTGATAAATGAAACTAAAACAGCAGAAACGCTTCGATAACCATGTTTCCAGGGGGAAGTATGGCTAGGTGACTGGAGACACTGGCGGCAGTGCAGTAAGGGGCAGCCCGGGCACCCCAAAATGTAGGGGCTGCTCAAAGGTCAAGTAGGGTGAGGGCTGAGAGCCAATGTGTCCCAACCCCCCAACCCTACTGAACCCCAGTTCCAGTCCTGCTGGGCTCACTGAAACTTTGGGAAGCACCCCCAATAGAGGAGCTTCTTTGCTCCCTGCACGGCCAGCCCACGTGCTCTCCCACCACCTGCACCCTTGAAGCTCCCAGCCGGCCAACGGCTTCCCAGGCCCTGGTCCCTCACTAAGGCATCTCCTCCCCTCTGCTCAGCTGCCGTCCCTGGGTTCCTGCCCACATCAAGTGCAGGCTGGTGCTGCTGCAGCCCCAGGGAGGAGGGCAGCAGGGTGAGCACAGACGCGGGGACTCTGGAAGGGAGGAGGGCAGATAGTGGCACTCACGTGTTGAGAAAGCGTGTGGTCATGCCGTGCACCAACTGCACCACGTCTCCGTGCCTCACGGGCCTTGGCGGGCTGTTCACCTCCAGCTGGTGCCTGGGGAGACAGGCTGGCTGGAAGGCGCGGGGCCCACTGCCCCCCCGCCCCGGAGTCACACACCTCGCTGTGTCCAGGGCTCCAAGTGCTCCCAGTGGGGACAATATGGAATTGTGCAGCTGCCCAGCAGTCAGTCCCTTATCCAAAGTGAGCTCGTGTAAACAGAACACGTTACTAAACCCATTTCTGAAACCTATGGCCACATTCCGGGCTTCCAAACATGGTTCTCTGCTGCCTTCATTCTTGAGCTGCTCTGTTACCTACGATGCCACAGTGACCACTCAAGAGACCAGAGACCCTTCTCTACCAGACAGATGTTCAGTGCCCACCAATGAAAGGTACTCAGGGCCCAATAGGTCCCGACACAAAGCTGAACACGAGGCACGGCTGCTGCCCCAAGTTACTGCAGTAAGTGGAAACCCATGAGTAAGTGAGCAATGAGTAAGTGACGACCGTTGTGGGGAAGCCATCGGGACAGTGACTAAGAGGAGTGTGTGGAGCCCTGGAGGTGGTCAAGGCAGTCTCCTGGAGGAGCTGACCCCCAAGATTTAAGTAAGAAGGAGCCAGTCAGGTGGGATTCTTCCAGGTTGCGGGACAGGCAGTAATGCAAAGCTCTTGGGAAGGAGCTGGAGCAGTGAGTGTGTGAGGGACGGGCAGGAGGAGCTGGAGCAGTGAGGGAGTGAGGGGCAGGAGGAGCTGGAGCAGTGAGTGTGAGAGGGGTGGGCTGGAGGAGCTGGAGCAGGTGGTGTGAGCCCTACAGGCCACCATGTGGGGTCTGGAGTTCATTTGAGGGCAATGGAAGCTGGGCCAGGGGGTTGAGCATAAGTTGTGTTTTAAAGGACCACTCGGGGGGCCCCGCTGAAGCTGGGGGCGTGGGGGAGTGGAAACAGGCTGCGAGGGGGATGGGGAGGGGGAGATAGAGACCTGGGTGGGTCGTTTGGAGGCAGAACCATTAGGACTGGCTGGCTGGTTGGCTGGCTGGCTGACTGGCTGGCTGTGGGGAGTGAGAGCGTGAGAGACCTCCATCTGTGAGACCTGAGCATGGTGGAGGGGGAGGAGGAGTAGTTGGACCAGGCCTGTCAGACACCAGGACAGACTGAGCAGGCAGCTCACTGTGGAAAGATCTAACCCCGGACCGAGGGATCATTAGCACAGAGGTAGACTCCAAGCTTTGAGGGGAGGAATGTGGACAGAGATGAGGGCCTGGTACTGCCCCCGGGGGCACCGTCCGGCCAGGCCGGGAGGTGAGCTCTGTCAACCACACTTGAATTTTTTTAAAAAATGGTGAGCCCTGACTGGGAGGCCCAGGACCTGTACACACCTCCCGGGGTCCTTGACAATCCACCAGTTGTTGACGTCTTTGAAGGGGTAGCAGGTCACTTGCTGCTGGTGGGAGCTGCCTCGGCCGTTCTCATATCTGCATGAAGGAGCCAACAAAGACTGTGTGTGAAGTGGGCAGGCGGAGGGCCAGTCGGCCCCTCTCCCACGGCTCCTGTACACACTTCCTAGCAAGGTGTTCATGGGAAAGTAAGGATGAAACAGAGAAGTTTAAATCTAAGAGGAGCTGGAACACATGAGCCTACGCAGCACACACAACAGGCAGAACATGACCCGTGTGGTGCCACATGGCTGTCCTGTGACTGTCACGTGCATGTACCGGAGCGTCAGCCCAGCGAGACCCTCTCCCTGGTTTACACACAGAGTTGACAAGACTCTGAAAATCAGATCTAAAAGCTCAATTTCTTTTTGTCTCACAAACCTCTTCATACAATGTGAATGATGGTAACAGAACAAATATGAAAAAACATCTTATGACCTTCCAATAAAATGGCCACTTTCCTTACATCATGGGGTAGGTGCTCTGGTGCGAGTGCAGCCAACAGGGCACAGGTTTGCCTGAGGCGCTCTTCAGAGTCACCTGGGAGCCGTAGGCCACCTCCAGGGGCTGGCCCTGCGTGATCCGAGCCAGCCCCCCCTACAAAAGCCAAAAGGGGGCAAGTGAGAGAGACAGTCACAGAGCCTCTGACAGCCGCGTCTCCATCTGGGAAGCATATTTGGGGTGCTGGTAATTATCATTACATAAGACAAGACCAGTCATGTCACGCTAATCGGAACTGTAGCTACCGCTGACTGAATGCCGCCTCAGGGCCAGGCGCTCGGCTGACCCTTCCACACACCTCACCGAGCTCTGACCGCGTCCCGGGAGACAAGACAATGACGTCTGCTTAGGAGATGAGAAAACAGACTTGAGTGAGAGTTGCCCAGCATTTCCAAACAGGTCCCTGGGACTCCAGGCCACGATTCCTAACCATCTCAACTGGGACATTTGACTATTTCTGCAAAGTTCGTGTAAACGAAGCCCAGCATTGAGTCTGTCCTCGGGAGCCTATGCGCCCGCCTGGAGTCGGTGGGACTTCACGGTGGTCTCAGGGGTCACAATGACCAGAGCTAACCCTTCACTCATTTCTACATCATCAGTATACACAGAACTAGTTTAAAATACTGAAGCGGATTCCTCATTTCTTGATTTGGCTTTTCCTCTACCGCTCATTTTATAGTGTTTATGTAAGAGACTTTGAGTCTACTACGGCCCTCTCACCTCCAGGCTGGCCTGGAACGCGCTGGACATGATCTGGTCGTGGGGCCCGGAGCGGTAGAGCAGCGTCAAGTGGATGTAGAAGAAGAGCAGGTACATGACTACCGGGACGACTACCAGAGCCACTGCTCGGGCCAGCACGTGGCCAAGCACACAGACCTGTGCACAGAGGCACGCCCACGTTGCACAGAGCAGGCTCCAGCCTCCCAAGCCCTCCTGAAGCTTCTCCACCCAAAGCCCCATCCCACCCCTGCGCACCCCACGTAGCCAGCCTCGCATCACACGCACCATGATCAGCACCTACATTTGACAGAGTCTGGTCTCCGATCAGGTACCAGGCGTGGACGGCGGCAACTCCGAGCACCAGCAAGTAAGTGAAAACACCCATGTATTTGATGCTGAAAAGACCGATGGAGAGGACATTAAAATGAGACAGAGACGAGGACTGGGTGTGGCTGCTGCCTCAGACCTGGGGCCAGACTCACCCGACAGCACAGGAGCAGGCCACACCCGTCAGCATCAGCCACAGCCACCAGTTCAGGGAGAAGGGCCTGGGGATGGGGGGGAAAGCGGAGCTGGGACAGTCCTCCCAGATCTCTCGGGCTGGCTGGCTGCACCGAGCTTCAGGGAGAAGGAAAATGAATCCCCATCTTCCAAAACATCGGTCTCGGCAGGTTTTCTTTTTGGCCAGAATGTTTCTCCAGTTAGTTGAAGTTACAGAAAAAGGAGAGTGTGTTAACGGTGTTTATGAAGTCACAGGCCAAAGGCCAGTCTGGGTGACTGAGTGAGAGAGCCAGCAGCTCCCCAGACTGAAAAGGCACCGGCCCTTCCTGGCCTCTTCCTTCTCATTCACTAGAAGCACAGGTCCCACGCGCCATACCTGTGTTTCTGGCAGTTGGAGAACTTCAGGTAGGACAGCACGGCCAATAGATTAAAGAATATTAGCACCGATTCCAAGAGCATTAGCCTTGACTGAGTGATCAGCGCATTCTCTGTTGGAAAGAGGACATGAGGGCAAAGGTATAAAACCACCACAAAAAAGCAAACACTCCAAACCGCTCAGAACATGAAGGCGGGATGTCTGGAACCGGGCTGTCTGAAGGGGACTCGCTCCCCAACCATGAAGGCAAATTCTTAGGTGTGAGTCACACCTGCTAAGACCGTGTGACCTTGGGGAAGTCACTGAGCTTTCCAGAGTCTTTCTTTTTCTCACTTGCAGAAGCAATTCCAACTCTGTAGGGCTGCTGTGAATGCTCTAACATTGTCGGCACAGGGTCTCCATTAGAGCTGTCACCGGATAAACAGTGATCTTTTTATTTGATGGTATGACTTGGCAGGTGAGGTCATTTCACTTGTTTAGAAACGGGGGCTGGGAGACCCTTTCTGAGGAAGATCAACTAACTACTCAGTCCATCTCAGCAGGTTGGGGCCTGGGAGGTGCTAGAACAAGGCAGGTTGTCCGTGAGTGGCAGACATGGATGCAGGTGAAGGTGCTCAGTCACCTAGGCACACTGTCTGGACAGCCCCGATTATATGGCCACACCTCCATACTCTGAAGTCTGGCTACCCTCCGCAGCAGCCCACAGCCTGGGAGCAGGGTAACTCCCAGAGTAAAATGTGGACCAAGTGCCTGAGTTCCATCCTGTGAGCAGAAGCCGCTGTGGAGGGGCACGTCTACTAAACCTGAGCTCTCCTGGGCCAGCACCTGGTTCCTCTCTGCACCACACCAGGGCAGGCAGCAGTCCAGGTCTTACCAATAAGCATCAGGAGAGCAGCTCCCATGGCGGCACAATGAGAGAAATGAAGCTCCCACAGGATCTGGTAGGCCATGGGGACTGACAGGGCCCCTGCAAGGGCTGGCAGCAGGCGCAGGGACCACACAGGCACGTTGCTGCTGTATTCTAGAAAGCAACCACAGCGGAGCTGAGCGCATCGTGTTTTCAAATGGAGTTTCACATTCACACACTCCAGGAAGAAAGTTTACAGGCCTGGGACCTCATCAGGAACTGAGTATGGGAGTATGCTTTGAAATGAGCTTGCTACAGTCAAGGATCAGCTCTCATTATGCCCAGGAATGATTACTAAGGATCTGAAATTAGTTAATGCTTTACTTATTTATAAATTCACCCCACCTATTTCCTAAAACATGTGGCAACACACATACAACTTATACAAAAGATCATTGAGATAAGCTGCACATAAAGACTGTGCCATGTGTACCAAAAACCAGAATGAAGATAATTATCGTAACTAAATACTAAGATGTTTGCCAGGTTTTTTGAAAAGTCTGTCACTTGTATCCAAGCTATTTATCATGCCCTGGGCTCAGATGAACAAAACACACCTGTTAATCCCTACGAAGGCCACTAGCTCTCCATTCTAGTACAGGGTGTGCAAACTAACAAGGGATGTGAAGATGACCATTTACCTGCTCCAATTCTGTTCCACAGAAAGTTACCGTCGAATCCTCCTAAATAACCTAAAACAGGATTAATCAGTAACGGTCCCATCCAGCGGTATCTCAGGAATGCCAAGTGGGTGGCAGCCAATAGGGAAACAATGGTAAATAAGTAGTAAGATGCGGCTTCCACCCTCAAAAATGACCTGTAAGTTTTAAAGGATCCTACCTCCCAAGGCCAGCAACATGTGGCCAAATGGCGGTCCACTGCTGTCCACAAAGAAGACCCGCTTCATGTAAAAAGAGATGTACTGCCCATAATATACTTCATCGAAACTGAAAAACAAACCCATGCTGTATTTTATTATAAACCTGAGCTGTGAAAAGGTGCCAGGATAAACGTACAGCTGGGTTTTCCAACCAGATCCAGGGAGCAATCAGCAAAGGTCAGATGTCCACCCCAACCACGTCGGGTCCCCAGCATCCTCTATCCACAGGGACGGGCCTTCCCTAGCTTTCCATTTAGATGTGCCATCAGCCTGCCCCCTGAAAGGCCTCGAGGACCTGAGGCTAATCCCCTTGTCTGTCAGCTCAATGTGGGAACCAACTGCAACAAAATGTTTCCAGATGAGGACCTGGAGGAATTGTTGTCAATTCTTATTAGGTGTGGTGATGCTACTGTGGTTGTGGTTTTTTTAAGAATCTGATATTTTAGAGATATACGTATACTGAATTACTTGTGAATGATACATGTCTATGATTTGCTTAAAAAAAAAAAAATCCACTATAGGGAGGGGGTGGCTATGAGTTGGTAACTGTAGAAGCTGGGTCATGAATACATTGGTGAGGAGGTCATCATACTAGTTCCCCCACTTTTGTATATGTTTGATGTTTTCCACAATAAAAAGTTAAGCAAGAAAGAACACATGTATTAGATAATAAACAGTCCTTTAATAATAAAAGGAATCATTTCCCATTATGACAAAGAACGCCCTCTAAGGTCAATGAGGACTCACTTCCACAGTCCTCAATCTTCTGCCTTCCGATCTCCAGGTGTTAAATGGTCACCTGGGGAGACTGGCACCTGCTACAGACCCAGGGGGCAAGGCTGAGCAAATGGACGCCGCAGGGGTTTCCCTGGGGGACAAACCAGCATCTCCTCTAACTGCCCCAAACATCCATCACCAAGAAGCCCAGAATTTCACTCTCCCATTTATGCTGTTTTAAAAAAAGGCACTTCCTGTCACCAACAAATGACAGTTCTTCCAGACTCGCTCAGGGCACGGTTTGGCTTACACCACAGCCCTGGGATAGGTGAGTCGCCACAGCCGGCTCAGCAGCCCCGCCACCGTCAGAGCCACCACGTTCAAGTTGACGTCCGCGGTCACCACTACCGGGCGCTGCCAAAACCCCATCATCTTGTAGGAAAGCAAGCCCGGGGAGCAGACCCTGGAAAAGACCGACAGAGCTGTCACCAGGCAAGGTGGCGACCAGGAAGGCTCCCGGAGGCTGCGACAATGACCCGAGGCGCCAGCGAGACCACGCTGTGGGGCCCTCGAGAGTCTCAACCACAGTGGGAGTTCAGGGACCTCAAGACTGAATAAGCGCTCATTCAACAGCTCGCCCAACGCCTGCGGGGCGCTTCCCGGGCCCGAGGCCGCCGGGAGGGAGCAGCCGGCCTTTCCGGCCTCCCGCCCGGCAGG